TTTGTGTGTCTGTGTGTCTATCTGTGTGTGTTTGTGTGTGAATGAGTGCGCATGTGTATCTGCGACTGTACGTGTATCTGTGCATGTTTGTGTGCATCTATGTGTATATGTGTGTTTTTGACTGGTGCCTGTCGATGCACGCATGTCTGTGTTTGTGTGTGTATTTTTGTGGATGTATGTTTGAGCATGTGAGTGCTCTGTTTGTCTATTTCCGTGCATGTGTCTGTCTTTCGGTGTCTTTGTGTAGTGAACTGTACAGTCAAGTAGAACCTGCTCAGCAATAACCTGCTCAGTGATGCCCAGTTTGGGTTCCGCCAGGGCCACTCAGCTCCCGTCCTCATTACAGCCTTGGTTCAAACATGGACAAAAGAGCTGAATTCCAGAGGGTGAGGTGAAAGTGACAGCCCTTGACATCAAGGCTGCATTCGACTGAGTGTGGCATCAAGGAGCCCTAGTATTAGTTGGAGTCATGGACAGGATGGTGAAGAAGGTGTTTGGTACGCTTGCCTTTATTGGTCAGTGCATTGAGTATAGGAGTTGGGAGGGTCATGTTGCAGCTGTACAGGACATTGGTTAGGGCCACTTTCGGAATTTTATGTTCAATCTGGTCTCCCTGCTATAGGAAGGATGTTGTTAAACTTGTAAGGGTAGAGAAAAGATTTACAGGGATGTTGCCAGGATTAGAGGGTTTGAGCTATAGGGAGAGGCTGAATAGGCCGGGGCTATTTTCCCTGGAATGTCGGAGGATGAGGGGTGACCTTATGGAAGTTTATAAAATCATGAGGGGCATGGATAGGGTGAACAGCCAAGATCTTTTCCCCCAGGGTGTAGGGCAGTCCAAAACTAGAGGGGCATAGGTTTAAGGTGAGAGGGGAAAGCTTTAAAAGGAAACTAAGGGGCAACTTTTTCACACAGAGGGTGGTGCGTGTATGGAATGAGCTGCCAGAGGAAGTGGTGGAATTACAACATTTAAAAGGCATCTGGATGGGTACATGAATAGGAAGGGTTTAGAGGGATATGGCCCAAATGCTGGCAAATGGGACTAGTTTTTTTAGGATATCTGATCGGCATGGACAAGATGGATCGAAGGGTCTGTTTCTGTGCTGTACACCGCTATGACTCTATGAATGGCAGTGTATTATGGATCAGTTATTAATTTAATAGATAAATATTTGTTGAGCAAAAGTATTAAGGGAAAGGGACCAAAGGTTGGTATGTGGAGTTAGACCACAAATCAGCCATGATCCCGTTGAATGGTGGAACATATTTGAGGGTTGAATGGCCTACTCCTGTTGCTACGGCCCTAAAAAGGTTTTTCCAACAATCGACAACAGTTTCATGGTCAGCATTAGACTCTTAATTCCAGATTTTTCTCCCGAGTTCAAATTCTATCTCAGCAGGATTGGAACTCGGGTCTTGAGAATATGATCTGGGTCTCCAGATTAAAGCTTGAGCTATAATTCCATGAGGCCATCGTCTCTCCATTCTGAATGCCCCACTCTTGCCACTGAGAGCTGTTGGGGCAGAGCCCTTGTGTCCACTTAAGGCTGAGAGAGATAGGTTCTTGGTCAGTCGGAGAATCAAGGGTTACAGGGAAGACTCAAGAAAGCTACGATCCTGACAAAATCACGCGGGGCATGAATAAAGTGAATAGCCAAAGTCTTTTCCCTAGGGAAATCCCTGGAGGGGATTTTTATGGTGAGAGGAGAAAGAATTCAAAGGGACCTGAGGGGCAACTTTTTCACACAGAGGGTGGTTCATTCGTGGAATGAACTGCCAGAGGAAGTGGTAGATGCAGGTACAGTTACAATATTTAGAAGACATTTGGACAGGTTACATGGATAGGAAACGTTTAAGGAGATATGGGCCAAATGCAGGCAAGTGGCATGAGGAGGAATGTGGAGGAACACAGCAGGCCAGGCACCATCACAGGAGCAGGAAAGTTGACATTTCAGGTCGAGACCCTTCTTCAGAAATGGAGGAGGGGGAAGGGAGCTGGGAAATAAATGGAGGTGGGGCTGGGGGAAGATAGGTGGGATGGTGATAGGTGAGTGCAGTGGTGAGGATTGGTCAGTGTGGTGGATAGGAGAAGATAGGTTGAGTCAGGTCAAGGAGGCGGGGATGAGAGCGAGGGTTGGACATGGGATGTGGCGGGGGGGGGGGGGGAGATTTTAAAGCTGGTGAATTCCATGTGTAGGCCATCGGGCTGTAGGCTCCTGAGGCGGAATATGAGGTGCTGCTCCTCTAGTTTGTGGGTGGCATCATTGTGACACTGGAGGTAGCCCAGGATGGACATGTCACCCAGGGAGTGGGAGGGGGAGATAAAATGGGGTTTGCAACCGGAAGGTGTTGTTTGTCACAAACAGAGCGCAGACGCTCTACAAAATGGTCTCCAAGTCTACGCTTGGTCTCACCGATGTAGAGGAGGCCACATTCGGGTGATGCGGATACAGGACAGCAAGTTGATGGATCTACAGGTCTGATGTGAAAGGTTTGTCTTGGGTCTTGAATGGAGGTGAGGGGGGAGGTGTAGGGGCAGGTGTAGCACCTCGTGCGGTTGCAGGGAAAGGTGCCGGGGGTGGTGGGGTTAGTGGGGTGCAGACGAGGGACTCACGGAGAGAGCGGTCCCTACGGAAGGCAGATAGGGTTGGGGGGGTGGTGTGGAAATATGTCTTCGGTTGTGGGGTCGGATTGTAGGTGGTGGAAGTGGCGGAGAATGATACACAGGATGAGGAGGTTGGTGGGGTGATATGTGGGGACAAGGGGAATTCTGTCTTTATTTTTGTTGGGGGGGGGGGGGATGTGAAGGCAGAAGTGCGGGAAATGCAAGAGATGCAGTTGAGGCATTTTTGATCACTGCACGGGGGTATTGCGGTCCTTGAAATAGGAGGACATCTGGGATGTGCAGGAGTAGAATGCTCCATTTTGGAAGCAGATGCGGTGGAGGCAGAGGAATTGGGAGTAAGGGATCGCATTCTTGCAGGAAGGTGGGTGAGAGGAGATGCAGTCTAGGTAGCTGTGGGAGTCGGTGGGTTTGAAATAGACGTCAGTTTCGAAGCAGTCACCAGAGATGGAGATGGAGAGGTGTCTCTCCCTCTCCCTCACACACACATGAATCTATGGGGTAAATTTGCATTTGCAGATACATTTTATTTTGTTCAAAACGCACACAATTTATGGACAGTCAGTTAATGTGGCGTTTTAGAAATTTCTACTTTAGAAATAAAACCAGTCTGGCTCCAAACCAAAACAAACAGATTCTAAACAAGGCCTCACATCTAACTTGCACTGTCTGACCTAAAATGTCACCTCTTCTTTACTGGTACACTTCCGTTCTCTCAGGGCAGTGACTTGAAAGAAATTTGGGGATTTACACATACATATTAATCAATTAAAACCTTCTAACTGATTAAAGAGTTCACAGCATCGTAGGTTTGTTTAAGTGGTGTGACCCTTTGATCTTTTACGTAGAAATTCTGAGTTGCGTGTGCTTCTTTCTCACTTCACCTGACAAAGGGGCTACGCTCCGAAAGCTTGTGTTTTCAAATAAACCTGTTGGACTGTAACCTGGTGTTGTGCGGTTTTTAAAGATAGATAGATTCTTGTCAGGCAGGGGATTCAAGATTGTAAGGGGCTGGAATTTGGGATCATAAATGATCTTACCGAGTGAGTCTCAAGGGGAGAAATGGTCTTCACTGGAAGTTGTAGGAAGCATCTCAAGCGAAGGGAAGGGAGAGGTGGAAAGGTTTAGGGAGGTTGGTCCATAGATCAGGGACACAGGCAGCTAAACAATAAGGCTCAAGAGGCCAGAACTGAAGAAAAAGAGAGGTAGCGAGGTTTTAGGGACTGAAGGAGGTTACAGAGATAGGGAGAGGTGTCGGGGCTGGAGGAGGGTACAGAGATAGGGAGGGGGTGTAGGGGCTGGAGGAGGTTACAGAGATAGGGAGGGGTGTAGGGGCTGGAGGAGGTTACAGAGATAGGGAGGGGGTGTAGGGGCTGGAGGAGGTTAC